CGTAGAATGAGTTTGGGATAGCTCCCTCCTTCTCTGTTTCTCTGAAGAGCTTGAGGTGTATGGGTATTAGTTCTTGTTTAAAGGTCTTATAGAATTCTGCTGTGAATCCATCTGGTCCTGGGCTTTTTTTTGTTGGAAGACTTTTGATAGCTTCCTGTATCTCATTATAGGATATTGGCTTATTTAATTGGTTAACTTCTTCTTTGCTCAGTTTGGGTAACTTGTATTTCTCTAAAAATGCATCCATTTCCACCAGATTTTCTTCCTTTAGAGAGTATAGCTTTTGAAAGTAGTCTGTTAGAATTGTTTGGATATCTTGGATATGTGTTGTGATGTTTCTGGTGGCATCCCTAATCCTATTAATATGGGTTTCCTCTCTTCTTTTTTTAATTAATCTTTCCAACGGGCCATCAATTTTGTTTATTTTTTCAAAGAACCAGCTTTTTGTTTGGTTTATTTTGGTTATGGTTTTCTGATTTTCTAATTGGTTAATCTCTGCTCTCAGTTTGGTTATCTGGCTTCGTCTAGTAGCTTTAGGTCCCATTTTTTCTTGTTTTTCTAGCTGTTTTAGTTGCAACATGAGATTATTTACTTGGTCTGTCTCCATTCTCTTGATGTGGGCACTGAGGGCAATAAATTTGCCCCTCAGGACTGCTTTTGCTGTGTCCCACAAGTTTCTTTGTGAGGTGTTTTCATTTTCATTGAGTTGTAGGATATGCTTTATTTCTTCTCTGATCTCTTCTGTTACCCAGGCATTGTTAAGGAGTGTGCTGTTCAATTTCCATGTATTAGAGAAATTTCTGAGGTATGCTTTGTTATTGAGAGCTAGCTTGATTCCACTGTGGTCAGATAGGATACAGGGGATTATGTCGATCCCTTTGTATTTGCTTAAGTTCCTTGCATGAACTATGATATGGTCTATTTTGGAGAAAGTTCCATGAGCTGCTGAGAAGAATGTGTACTGTGTTGTTTTAGGGTGAAATACTCGGTAGATGTCAGTTAATTCCGCTTGAAGTATGGCCTCACTTAATTCGGTAGCTTCTTTGCCAATCCTCTGGTTGGTAGACCTGTCCTTTGGTGAGAGTGGCGTGTTAAAGTCTCCTAGTATTATCGTATTGGGATCTATTTTATTCTGTAAGTTTGAGAGCATTTGTTTAACATATCTGGGTGCACCGATATTTGGGGCATATAAGTTGATGATGGTTATATCCTCCTCTTGGATTGTTCCCTTTATTAATATGTAGTGTCCGTCCTTGTCTTTCTGTACTGATTTTAATGAAAAGTTTATTTTGTCAGATATCAGGATAGCTACACCTGCTTTCTTATTGGGGGCATTTGATTGGTAGATCCTTTTCCACCCCTTCACTCTGAGTCTGTTTGTATGTTTGGCTGAGAGGTGGGTCTCCTGAAGGCAACAGATGGATGGGTCTTGTTTTCTGATCCAGTCCTCAGTTCGTTTTCTTTTAATTGGCGAATTCAGCCCATTTATATTAAGAGAAAGTATAGAGAGATGCATTGTTGTCCCTGCCATTCTGTTTTCCTAAGTTTTTCTTTTTTCCTTTCCTCCTGTGCTTGCTCAGTTAGACTTTGAGTAATGCCTGTTTGGGGCAGGTCCCAGTTCCTGGTTGCTTTCTTCAGGTTGTGTCCCCCCTCTTAGAATTCTTTGTAATGCTGGCTTAATGTTTATGTATTCATTTAGTTTTTCTTTGCTATTACAAGTTTTCAGTTCTCCATCGAATGTGAATGCTAGCTTTGCCGGGTATATCAGTCTGGGTTGGCAGTTATTGGCTCTCAGGGCTGGTATGGTGCTTTCCCAGGCTTTTCTTGCATTCATTGTTTGTGTGGAGAGATCTGCAGTGATTCTAATTTTTTTCCCGTTGTAGTATAGCTCCTTCTTCATTTTTGCTGCATGCAGGATTGTTTCCTTATTATTCAGATCCATCATTGTTACTATAATGTGCCTAGAAGTGTTTCTCCTGGGATCTTGCTTGTTGGGTGTTCGATAAGCTTTTGTGATGTAGTTAAGATGGTCGTTTTTGAGGTGGGGAAAATTTTCATTGACTATCTTGTTAAATAGGTGTTGCATTCCCTTGCTCTGGAATTCCTCACCTTCGTCCACTCCGATTATGCGAAGGTTAAATTTCTTGGCATTATCTGCTTGCTCTTGAATTTCCCTTTGGTTTAATTTGAGTGATTTTTCCATATCTGTCACTTTTTGGTCCAGTTGGTGTATTCTGTCTTCTGTATCTGACACTCTACCTTCCATTTCATTCACTCTGTTGACCGTGGCTTCTATTGTGGTTTGCATGGAGGAAATGGATCCCTTTATGGATTCAATGTTGGTTCTCAGAGTACTGATCTCACCTCTCAATGAGGTGAGATCAGTATGCATTACCTCTAATTTGGCGTTTATCTCACTTCTTACTGAGGTTTGTGCAGCTTCTATTTTTGCATCCAACTTTTGTTTGATATCCTGTATCTCTTTTGATAGTTCATCCTTGTGCTCTTTCAATTTCTGATCCATTTCTCACTTTATTTCTTGAGTCATTGCCTCCAGCAACCCTTGGATGTAGCTTTTGTCTTCCATTCCTGCTTTGCTCCCACTGGGGCTCTCCCCTGCGTGGCTGCTGGCTTTTGAGGTGAGCTTGCTGTCCTGGGTGGTGGTAAACCTTGTGATTTTTCTCTGTGATTTTCGCATGGGGGTTCAGGAGACTGCTCTTCAATTTTGTTTTGGTGTGTCTGTCTTTGCTTGGTTGCTGATTCTGTATTGGTAGAGAGAGTCTGTGCCTGATCTGGGTTCTGTTGGGAGCCTATTTCCAGCTGCTATTCTGACTTACTTAGGATTCTCAGCTCTCTGCTGTAGATTGCTGGCAATTCCCGCCTTTGGAAGGGTTGAGCAGCCTAGACTGCTTGTGTTTGCTCCTACGGGTGCTCTTGGGAAGATCAGATGCTCTGGATGCACTCTCCCAAATACTGGAGTCTGCTATGGGCTCCTGATGTGTTTTTGTTTGTTTGTTTTGGGCTGGTTGTGGGCTTGAACTCTAGGTTTGGGTGCTGTCCTTCAGCTCTTCAGCTCAAGGCTGGCACCCTACCATTTGAGCCACAGCACCACTTCTGTCCCTTTTTGCTTTTGTGATGCTGAGGAATCAGATCTAGGGCCTCATACATCCAAGACTATCACTCTATTGCTGAGCCGCCTTATCAGCCTGAGCTCCTGCTTACTATCAGGTGCTGGCAGCCTGTGTTGCCCAATTCCCAGTCTAGGGTATATGGGTGGAGTTTTGGTGGGGTTTGGGCTTCTCTTGTCCTGAGCCTCCAGGTCTTTTGTGGTCACAGGCGTGCTTCCCGGGGAGTGTTGTTTCCTGGTTTTCTCCCCTCTGTTGAGGCATATGCTCAGCTTTTTACTTCAGTTGGGAGGAGGTGGTTGTGTTGTTCAGGCGCCAGATCCCCGGGCCTGGTTCTGGCCCCAGCCTGGAGCGCGCTCGTTAGGCCTGTGCTGATGTGTATACCACCTAGGTTATGCAGCCTGGAGGACACAGTTCAAATTTCTTCTACTGTTGGTAGTCTTGACCCAGGGGCGCTGTTCCTGGCTTGGGCATTTAAGCTCCCTTCCAGGGGCACTCTTGCTCTGGCCTGGCCAGCAGAGTGTGCTCCACCGGCTGGTGGAGCTCTCGAACAGTTCCCAGTTTTAGTGGGTCCTGTGGTCCGGGTGTTGGGGTAGGGAGTCTAGGTCAGGGTCTGGGGATTCCCTCCAGCTCTGGTCTCCCTTGAGGGATACCCTGTCCCCTGTGGGGTACTCACCCTGGAGCTGGTTGTTTCTGTGTGGTGTAGGTCGTCAGTTGTTCTTGCAATCCGAGTTCAGTTGGGGTGGTTGCGGGATGGGTTGAGTGGCCCCCGCCGGGTCGTTGCGATCGTGATCGGGCGGGTGGTCTGCTGACAGGTCCCTTTGTCGCGCTGCTGGTGCCGGGCAGCTTTTGCGGGATGGAGCCTCTCCGCTCCGGTGGAGAGTGAGGGGTGGGGGTGGGATCCTCGTGGTGACTCCCGGCTGGTAGGTTTCTCTGTTCCTGGCGATCCGCTGTTCTGCAATCCGGTACCTGGTGATCTGCAAGCAGCTCCCTGTTTCTCTGGGGCTCCGGCAGCCCCCGCCGGGCCGGCTGGCCGGCGGCTTGGCACACTGCTGCGCGGCCAGTAAAGGTTGGGGGAGGGGTCTTCGCTCTTCTCTGTTCTGAAATTCTTCTTTTCCTCTCTTTTTTTGTTATTTTCCACCTCTGGTTTTTCTCTGAGTGTTTGTCTTTTTGTTGTTGTCGGTCTCTTGGGGAGATTAAGCGTTGGAACTCCAACTCTCTTTTTGGTTGGAGAGAGCTGTGGTGTTTCCCTACTGCCCCGTCGCCATCTTGGTCCCCCCTTTCTCTTAAGTAGATTTTTAAAAAATAAATAACATTAGGGAAGTTTACCCTGTGTTCTTACTTACATATGAATTTTGAACATAAACATGATAATATTTTGAATCAGATCTATTCTCTGTAATGATTCTTCTTCTTTGAAAAGTTTTAATTATACAGGTGATGTGCAGAGGGGTTACAGTTACATAATTCAGGTAGAGTAGGTTTCTTCTTGGACACTGCCACCCCTTCCTTGGCTCTCTCCCAGTTTTTCCTTCCTACTTGATCCACAAGTTGTATAGTTCATTTTGAACAGCTTCTGGTGAGTGCCACTGCTGCATTTGTTCACCCTTTGTCCCTCCATTTCTGTGCCTCCCCTTACACTCCCAAAGAAAGATAAATGAACAAACAGAACAGAGGAAAGAAAACAAAAAATAGCAAAAGAAGAAAAAAAACCCTCATTTTCATTTCCTGGAGTTCATTCCAATAAATATTTCTTTGTATGATCAGATGCACACAGGCATTGAACCTTTGTGTTCTTCTCCCCAAAGTATCCTCCTGTGGTCTCAGTGTGAATGCCTCGGTTTCTTCTTTTTATGTGTTTAAAATTTTAGTGTGGTGCTGTCTTAGGCAGCACACATGGTAAAAAAAGAAACAATACAGAGAAGTTTAGCATGGCCCCTGCATAAGGGTGACTCTCAAATTTGTGAATCATTCCATATTGTTATCAAAACGAATACCAGGCAATGGAAACACTGGAGGAGCTACATGTAGGGGCACAGGAATGGAGGAAGGAAGGGTAAGCAAATGCAGTCATTGTATTCTAGATGGGTAGTTGTTGACCTTCTGTTGCTTTATGCCCTTCTTGCTTTTAAGGTTTCTGCTGTTGAGAAATCTGGTGATATGCTGATGGGCTTGCCACCATAGATGACTCATTGTTTTTCTTTGGTAGCTTTCAGTACTCTTTACGGTTTCTTAATATTTCATTTTTAACTATAATGTGTCTTTGAGTGATTCTTTTTTGATATGATCTGTTTGCTGTTCTAAAAGCCTCTTGTATTGTTAAAGATTTTGTAAGGGCTGGGAAGGTGGCTCAGTGGTAGAGTGCTTGCTTTGCATACATGAGGCCCTGGTTTCCATTCCTCAGCACCACATAAGCAAAAAGAAAAAAGCCAGAAGTGGCACTGTGGCTCAAGTGGTAGAGTGCTAGCCTTGAGCTGAGGAGCTGAGAGACAGCACCCAGGCCCAGAGTTCAGGCCCCACAACTGGAACCCCCCCCCCCAAAAAATGATTTCATAAACATTCTCACATCATTTTATTGACTATGTTTTCAATTCCTTTACCATGGAACTTTTCTTCAGCCTCTATGCCCATTTTCCATAGGTTTGATCTTTCAAGTTTCCCAGGTGGGCTTGTATAATCTTTTCATACTTTTCTTTTCACCTAGTTCTTCATCTGACTATTCTAATATATCTCCTTTTTCCTTGCTCTCTAATATTCTGTTTCAGGAAGTGGCACTGTAGCTCAAGTGGTAGAGCGCTTGCCTTGAGCTGAAGAGCTGAGGGACAACGCCCAGGCCCAGAGTTCAAGCCCCACGACAGACAAAAAAAAAAAAAAAATAATAATAATGATCTAATATTCTGTTTCATTTTCATCCACTCTTTTCTATTGAGTTTTTTATTGATACAGGTTTTCATTCCCAAAATTTAATTTAACTATTTTTAATATTTCTGTATCTTTATTGAACTCCTATTTATATATATTGCATTGTTTGTCTTACTTCATCCAGCTGTTTATTTGTATCCACTTCAAATTCACTCATTTTTTATACTTATTCTTTGTATTGTATTGAAATCTTTTTGTTGAAATATTTTTCTTATAATCATACTTTTGAGTTCTTTGGGCTTTAATCTTCTTCAATATGTTTTATGTGTATGGCTATAGAATTGTTAAACTTTGGAGATACTTGCCTTTTTCCACACATTCTGTGTTGATATTTATAGGTTCTGAAGCCAGTTCATTGGTTGGAAGTCTTCATTACCTATAGACCAGAAGATTGAACTAAGTGATTTTCATTGTATCTGTCACTGCTTTAGCTATCTGTTTTCTGTTTTTTTGAGGGGAGGGTCATGGGGCTTGAACTCAGACTCTGAGCACTGTCCATGACCTTTTTTGTTCAAGACTAGTGTTTTGCCATTTTGAGCCACAGTGCCACTTCTGTTTTTCTAGTGATTAATTGGAGATTACTGCATCATGGGCTTTCCTGCCTGAACTCTCTTTGAACTGCATTCCTCAGATTTCAGCCTCCTGACTATCTAGGATTACAGGTGTGATCCTCTGGCACCTTGCTTTATATACGTATATATGCATATATATATATGTATATATATATATATATATATATATATAGGTTTATACAGATCTAGGTAAATATATGTATCAATCTATGTAGATCTATATCTATCTATCAATCTATGTAGATCTATATCTATCTATCTATCTACCTACCTATCTATCTATCTATCTATCTAATTAACTTATGTTATCTGTGTATTGTTCCCAGGGCACATCCATATTGACATCACTGACATCTGTGCTGCATGACCCCAAGGAATTCCCCAATCCTGACAAGTTTGACCCTGGACACTTTCTGGATGAAAGTGGTAATTTTAAGAAGAGTAACTACTTTATACCTTTCTCAGCAGGTAATAAAATTTCATTTCCATATCTCAGGATAACTTTCAGGACGGGGTGTCAGTGGGAACTTACATAAAGCCTCCTTGGGGCTGGCGTATTTCTCGTAAGCTCCTGATTAGGAGCAGCACTCTCAATGCCCTTGCACTTTCCTGTTCATGATGCATCTCCACTGTTTGATCAGATTAGTGAGACCTCAGTTTCTCTGTGCATTCTTCCAAGTTCAACAAGGTAAAGCAAGCAATTCTGGCATTCTCTCTTTATATATATCATAATGATCTCTTCCTAAACAGTAGAACTCATTTAGACTGCTCTCACTCACAATAAAAAAGATAATCTTATCACAGGTCCCTCTCACATCTTTTTGTGGCATTTGTCACACCCAGGCTCCTCTATAGAATGATTCTCTCCCAAAAGGAACAGAAGAACACCAAAAGGCAGTGAGGGAAGATCATCACAGATGACAAGCCATGAGGATTTGTGGGTGGAGTATTAACTCATTTGTCACGTTCTTGAACTTGATTATTAAACAGAAAGTGGCCTAAGCAACATTTTAAGATATTTAAGGTACTTCAACAGGGACAGAGAGTAGATGGAAGACAGAGCAGACATTTTTAAGAAAGTCATGAACCACAAGAACAGAACATTTACTCTCAAAAGTGTCAGAAACTGTCAAATATTGGTAGATTTCCCACAATGATCACAGAGCACTCAGCTCTTCTTTCAGTCTGAGACATGTATCTGGATATTGTATCCCCACACCTGCAGTCTGTGTGCTGTGTGTCTGGCCAGGGAGCAGCCTTCCTTCACTGACACTGTGACTTTTTGTCTTTTGTGTTAGCTCATTCATTTGTTTGGATTTGGGGTATTTTTATTGTCAGTTGTGGGGCTTGAAGTCAGGGTTTGGACCTTGTCCTGACCTTTGTTCCTCAAAGCCACTTTGAGCCCTTTTAGCCACAGCTGTACTTCTGCCTTTTGGTGAATAATTGCAGGTAAGAGTCTCAGGGACTTTCTTACCCCAGGCTCACTTCTAATCACGATCCTCTGATCTCAGCCTCCTGAGTAGTTGGATTGTAGGCATGAGTCATTGGCACCCAACTAATGACCTCACCTTTGATATCTGCTTTACATCTGTCATATAGATACCATGGGAAAGGCAGTGATCTCTCTTCAAAAATTCACTTTATTTACACAAAGGGAAACATGTTAAATAATGAGAAAATTATGGTTTCAAATGATTTGAGTGTCAGTGAAAATCTGAATATGATATTTGGGAAGCTGAATGAGGGCAAGATTTTATGGCTTGAAGGGACACAAAGAGTACAAGAAAGGACATGAAATGTGGTCTGTGTCTTGATGTCTGTAGGGGAAATATCTCATAGCCAAAAGGAATTTCATGATATAATACTTAAACTTTGTAATGTAGGCTGATGAAATGGACAGTTGGGCTGTCAATATTAAAATGCAAAAAGTGTTCATTCTCTTTCTGGGGACAGTTCACATGAGCAATATGAATGGGTTTTCTTAGAAAAACAGAGATGTCTCTAGAACATTCAAACTGTCTCATTGAAATCTGAGACTCAAACTATTTATAAATAAATAATGAAACCTTGATTAAAATTGCAATAAATCTAAATCTATTATTATTTTAATTTCTCACCAACATTTCACGAAGGAATTATTAGCATTTCCATTTAATATTTGAAGAAAATAGGGCTCAGATATTTTACTAACTTACCCCACATGGGTAGTTAATGACTCAGAAGTCAAGATTTGACTTCTGAGTTGACTTGGAAAGCAGTATTTCCCACCACTAGTTTTACATGTGATGAATTCTACTTGGAGTCACGAGTAGGTCTATGCCCTCCACTCCTACATATTTATTATTCTATTGATACAAAGGTTTAGAGGTAATCCTAAAACACATGGTCACAGTCCTTTCTGATTAGTAGGGATAATACTAAAAGAGAAGGAATGGGAGTAGGTCTTACAGTTGAGGACAAAATGTATTAAATCCTCATCTCAACCACAGGAAAAATGTATGATTGGAAGCCAAAAGTTCTTCCAAAGTTATGATTCTTTCCTTTAGCAGAGAACATATTAGAGTAATGATATAATAATTTGGTAACCCCCAGCCTGGCATAGAGAAAGAGAAAAGAGGGAAGAGAAGATAAAAATTTTTAAAGAGAATTTATCATGTAAAAATACTTAATAAAAGGTTTACATGAAGATAGTAATCTGTTTTTTAAATATAATTTGGTTTGGTATGATTTTCTTTAGGTTTTTTTTAGAGAAGATCTTAAAAATATAGCCCGAAGTAGTTATCAACTCAAGATTCTTCTGCATGAGTCACCTGTGCTAGACTTACAAGTTTGTGTGTTCCTGTGATACCATTCTTAGATTAAAAAAATGTATTAGTGAAGATGACATATTCCTGGGTATCTGCACAGCTTTCCTTCTCTCTTTGCATTCGGGAATGGCACTTTCTTTTACCAGTTACAAATGCAATCCTTCACACTCTCACACTTGCATACATGGAGACATTTCCTGCTTTGACTTGTTTTTTTATTTTTTACAAACATTTCAGGCAAACGGATATGTGCTGGAGAAGGCCTGGCCCGCATGGAGCTGTTTTTATTCCTGACCACCATTTTACAGAACTTCAACCTGAAACCTCTCGTGGATCCACAGGACCTCGATACCACTCCAGTTCTGAATGGGTTTGCCTCTTTGCCACCATCATTCAAGCTCTGCTTCATTCCAGTGTAAAGAAGAGCTCCGCTGTCTGGCTCCATCTGTGCAGCAATCTGCAGTTCCCTCCTCTGAGCCATCACTCACCTCCTTCCCCTATCATGTCTCCCTCCTCTCCCAGATCCAGGAAGATCCGTTCTCCATTTTGAAGGGATTCCTGTATAATTGCCCTGTCAAATCTATAGTCTCTTCTGCTTTATAATACCTTTGTTTCCCAGTCCACATGCTAATACTTCTCTAATGCTGATTTAGTAATAAGCTAGTATGATAAAAACCAAAAA